TCAGAATTATAAACTAAGCACTGAAATATCAATTCATTACATGTGATTTGCATTATGTTGAAAATCTATAAAATATTTAAATTATATTTGTATTATTTATAAAGTGTCTTTAACTTGTTAAATTGAAATGGGAAAATTTAATTTTAAATTTTATCATATTGAAAAAGTATGTGATGGGAAAGCGATGAAGCTCATTTTTAAAAAAAAAGATCTGGAAACACTTTTAAGAACACTGTATGGGAAGCTAAAGACTTTATATTCTATGTTCACAAAATAATTGAAAAAGGCATTTTTACTATGTGTTTTGTATTTTTGCAACCACACTTGTCAGCCATGGTTTCCTAGCATGTAAGTTCTTCTGGTTGGAAAGATAACCTCCACAATGTAAAGTGACGCTGAGGAACATGGAGTAAGGCAGTCACTATCGAGTGTGTAACTTGTTGTTAAGGCAGAAACACTTTTGCAGTGTCCCCAGGTAGAACTTAACACTTGCCTGTATGAGTCCTTTCATTTAGGAAGTACACATAGGAAGTGCAGTGTGTGTGGGGTGTAAATTTTAGAGCGGGGAGGACGGTGTGCAGGTACGTGGAAGGCAAAAACAATCCCGAGCAACCAAACACAAATTTTGTAAACCTTCTGTCGGTTAAGACTGATGATATTGGGCCTGTGGTGACATTATAATCCAAGGATGTAAAAGAGGAAAAGCTGATGGGAGAAGGGGCTTTTTCTTGATCCCTGTAGATGTAGCTGATTAAATTGGACAAACTTTGAAGATCAGTTCCTTTCGTAGATCTGCAATAGAATAATTAAACGTGTTATATTATTAATATAAGCTGCCTTTGATAGGATGTAATTAACACGTGAAACTGGAAATAGAGGCAAGTGTTTGCCTGCAAAGAGTAAAATGTTAACAAAAAGTAAAGTTTGTGAAATAATTGCCATGAGCCTTAAGAATTATATCCCTTGGTGTGTGATTATTTAGTGTTCAACAATTGTGTATTTAGGTACCAGACTTCTCTTCAAAAGTTGAGTTGTAGTTATTGAGGGAAAGGTTTTCTAAACTGGTGTTTTTTGACCAATTCTGTTTTCTCTTTACTTGAGTTTTTGTATTTTTAAAGAAAAACTTTCTAGAGCCACCTGTAAATGTTTGGGGACTTATTTTTGTTTTGGGTTTTTTTGGTTATTGGAAGTAGTATATTTTAAGTATCTGTGCTAACGTGAGAAGTTTTGTCCCTTGAAAGTTCCTGTCTGCATCTTCTATAAAGGGAGATGCAGATGACTAACCCAGATGCATGTGTGCGATAAGTGTTTGTATTTGATCAGATGAATCCTATCCTGCGTGCCCTGCAGCACATGTGCTTGTCAGTGAGATGTGGAGCTGAGTCAAAGCGCTATGGTCCCTCCACGATAATCAGTAGTTCTCTGTGTGGATCTTTGCAAATGTATTAACTATATTCCTACAGTCCCACGCTTTCCGTTTTTATCTTCTGGGACATGTTTCCGTTACTCCACAATGCTTTTTTTCTGCAGAGCTACGTATTAAAGGTAGAATTAGTGATGACTTAATTATGCAGCACGTTTTTAATGTTCTCTCTGTGCTTGTTGGATATAGTTTATGGGTTCATGGAGTTAGGACTGTGAATTCTCCGTGTTTGTTGCCTCACAACTAGCATTACTGAAAAGCAGCTGTAGAGGTTTGCTTTTCCAGCAAGCAGGTTTCTTTCTTTTTTTTTTTTTTGGCAGGTTAGATCAAATGAAAGCTACAAAGTGTATCATTTCATTATTGTCTTTTTAATAGCTTACTTTATATCTCTCCGAAGCTTTCAAAGCAGTTTTAATGGTGCGTTGCATGTCTGCTTTGTTAAAGGGGAGTGACAATGGATGTGGGTATGACCAAGTTCGAGACAAAGACTAAAGTAATTACACTGATGGATGCTCCAGGTCACAAAGACTTCATTCCAAATATGATCACAGGAGCTGCACAGGTAGAGATGATCTAAAACTATTTTTCCAATAGCAATACTATTTCTCACTTTTTCTTCAATTGTTTTTTTTTTGTTTTGTTTTCTTCTTTTAAAATCTCAGGTGAAATGGGGTCATTGATGTATCTTTGAGCTTTTCCCAAGTTTTCTAAACTTAAAGAATGTGTATATTTAATGACAGTTGCCTTTCTTTTTCTTGGATATTATTTTTTTTTGAAGAGGAGTTTTAGTAAGGGAGTAATTTGGATACTAAATTGCAGTTTGATAAAATCAGAGCTGAGCTTTGAAAGCTATTAAAATGTGACATTTCTACTCAACAAGAAGTTCTATGAAAGTGGTCTTGTAGGTAAAGATTCTAAGTGATTTTGAGCTTAAAGGAAAAAAAAAGACTTGTGGAAGTCAAGCCTTTCAGTTTAACACTGAATTTTCTGTGGGAGGAGAAAACAGCATTTAGGTAACAGTTTATGCAGAATGGATCTGTGTGGCCAATAGGACATTTGAGGAGACTGCGTGCCACTTGCTCTAGGAACATCAGGTAAAGTCAAAAGTATTGCATGCTACCCACTGAATTCAGTATAGCACTTACCGTTATTATTTAATTTATGGAAATAATAAATCAGCAAGGGGGAAGAATAACGTGGTTACAGGACATAAAATGTGTGACTTTTTTTTTTCCGTTTAAAGGCACTCTTTAAATTGTAGAGGTGATTCTCCAAAGTAGAGATATAATCAAAGATTTTTTTTTTCCTGAAGCTAAGCCTACTATGTGGAAGTCTTTGCTTTGTGCATGTCATTGCAGTCTGAAACATGAGTTTTATCTTAACATCTCAGTAGGGATAGATACTCTTAGTATAATTTTACAGATAGAGAACTATACTGAGGAAGACTTGTTTGCCCCAAATTCTGTTCTAGCTCTTAAACAGAGGCTAGGGAAGAATTCAGATGTTGTGACCCAGTGGTTAGGCTGCAGAATAGTCAGAAGATTGCAAGCACAGTTGTCTAAATCGTGGAGAGTATGTTGTAGGAAGGTCAGGAGTTTTAAAATTAGGAATGGATCTTTAGTTTCAGATCAGTGGAAAATGTGGACTCAACCACTCTTTTCCTAAAATTTTAATTTAAATTTGTTCGTCTTTTGGAGGGAGAGTAATACAGGCGGAAGTATGAAGAGAGGACTTTCAGATCCACCAGCAGTTGTATAAATTCAGCAGAGGTGGGGCTGGCCGAGTAAGACTTGCTATCTCTGTGTTGCCTTTGCTCTCAGGATGGTGAGGTGCTGCATCTGTTCTGAACCCTGTTAAGGAATCACCGAAACTGCCTGTTAGTGTAGGCTCAGCTCTAAGCAAATGTAGAGATGGCTCTTGAGGCCTTTTTATTGTGGAGAATTCTGTTATGAGGTGAATCCCCAACTGCTGTTATGCAAATCAGCCTTATCAGGTCCAGGATCTGGCCTTTGATATAGTTAATTCACGTAAGTCCTGAGGTACAGTTTTTATAATTTAGAAAATACAGGGTGTCTTCTTTTTCTTGGGCTTGGGTTTTTGGTTTTGTTTTTTTTTTGAGGGAAAGGTTCACAGTAATGTGGGGAAATTCATCCCTCTTCCTTTTCCCGTTCTCACGCTTGCATCTTCTCTATATGAGCTGTGGGGATTTCACACCTTGGACAAGGCGAGGGAGGTTCAGAGCCAGGACAATGTGCTGTCTATGTTCCTTCTCCTGGCATCATGAAACATCAACATATAAGGAAAGGGAGAAAGTACCAGTTTTTCTCCTCTTTTTTTTCCATTATGTCTATCACATCAGTCCTTTGAAATTATCTTACACCTGCCTCTTGACAGCAGTACCTTTCTTCTTCATGTCTGTTGCCATTGCTTAGTATGTGATGATGGACTAACTGGCTACTACTTACCAAAGCAGGAAGAGTACAAGTAATATTACAGCATTTAAGGTTAACAGCGAAATCTGTGTTTTTCCCCTGTGCTTACATGCTGACTTTTGTGCAGTGCCATAGACTGTCGTACGTATTTCTTCTAAGTGCTGTGGCAGAAAGTTTGCCCAGATGATAAAATAGCCTACTTCGTCTTTTTCACCTTGTGATTTTGGTGTGCACCAGTGTGTTGAGTGGACCACGAAGCATCCACATCCAACATGCAGTAGACCAGCCCTCCCACTTGTATAGTAAGGTGATTTATCTGTAATGTTTGCAGCTTCTCCGTATGAAGATGTCAGGGCTGACAGGGAGAACTGGACATTGTGCTCATGCCCGTTCTTAAGCGTGGGCTACCTTTGTTTGGTTGAGGTCTGCGCAGCACGTCCATAGGGGCTAGTTTGCAAAGAACAGGCTCCCAAATCAAGAATTGTCTTGTGTTTAACAGAAAATGGGGTTTTATAAAATGAGGTGCCATACTGCCATGATATCTCACTAAGGTGGACATGACACAGATAGGACTAGGGGCTTCAGTTACATTTAAAGTGCATCAGGACTCATCCTGGGTAAAGAACATTTTGTGTGAAATGTTACTGATTGACTTACTCGGATTACTTCCACCTCCTCCATGCTTTTCCTTGTTTTTTGTGTGTTTTTTAAAATTTTTTTTAATCTAGGCTGATGTGGCTATTTTGGTTGTGGATGCTAGCAGAGGAGAGTTTGAAGCAGGGTTTGAGACGGGTGGACAAACTCGAGAACATGGATTATTAGTACGCTCTCTTGGAGTGACACAGCTAGCTGTTGCAGTCAATAAAATGGACCAGGTACATATTTTTTTTCATTTAATTGAAGGACTGCCATCTAGGATTGTGGACCCTAAGTTTAGAGTTCAATAATAAAGTATTGTTTCTTTCTTTGGTTCTTAGCTCTGTCTCTTGTGTGTAGACTTTACAGTACTTTTTATTTATAGGTGTATTTTCAAAGCATACAGAAGGATAGTTTTGGCATTAAAATGAGTAGGGGTCCCTCCTGTACTTGGGAAAATCTCACATAAGCAGTTCACCCAGTGGCATGTGCAAGGGCATCTTGGTGGTCATTCAGGCTGAGACCCTGAGAGATTTATTTAAACCTGTAAAGTGTGCTAAATATTACAAGTTGTGTTTTATAATATTATTGTGTTACATATTCTTTCTGAATCTGAATTTTTTGTAAACTTAAAAGAAAGGGGGGGGGCTGTTCAAGGACAAATCAAGTTACAGGGGCTTGCAAGTTAAATGTTGTGTTGTTTGCTATCAGTAATTACTAATGTGTATGCCCTTACGTATTCAACTGTGAATCCACCTGCAGATCTCATATTTATAAAAGATTTGAGTGCTATATGTGAAGAACACCCACTGATGCCACGCAGCTGTGTGTTCAAGTCATGATTAAAATCTACAATTTTATTATTATAATCTGTTTTCTATTTTAGGTCAACTGGCAACAGGAAAGATTTCAGGAAATTACGAGTAAGCTTGGCCAATTTCTTAAACAAGCTGGCTTTAAGGTAATGTAAATTTCCGAGTTCTTTATTGCTTTGTTCAGGAATTTGGGTAGGATGAGTTTTTTCTTACAGTGGGCTATTTTCTGTCACTTTCCTGATACCACTATGTGCATAACAGATTCCTTTTCTTAATGGTAGGGTGTGCATTGAGCCCTGGATAAGGTTAGTGAGATCTTTAATACTCTCTGTGATGTCATCTTTGTTTAGGTCTGTTGAATCTTTGCAGTAGTCATCTCATTTGTAGTTACTTGGGATTTTTTCCTACAAAGCAGAACAGACCAAGGATGTTCAGGATAACATGAATGACAGTAGAGAGTTTTGTACCAGAGCAGTGTCAGTGGAGTACGAAATCATAAGAACGCCCTCCCTTTGCCATTCTTGACTGTTCTTCTCACGTCTCCTCGGTTCCATCTACTGTCCATCTGGACTGGCTGCGACCTTCCTGAAATCCCTGTGCATTCACCAGCCATTCAAACCGAAGTTTTGCCTGTCAGATAGGGAATTGAAGTTTGTTACCTGAACTCAGCATCTGGTTGTTAATGTTGCTATCATTATTTTTAAATATCTACAACTCTTTATTGGAGCACTGTGGTCGGGCAAGAGCTAAAGAGGAAATGGATTCACCAAGTAATCTGCCTTCTCCAAGGGAAATGCAAATATGCCAGCTGTTCTTTTGTACCTTAGATGTGTAATTTTGAAAAAAACGTACTTGCTAAAGTATCATAGAATCATAGAATGACCTCGGCTGGAAGGGACCTTAGAGATGATTTAATCCAACTTCCCTGTCATGGGCAAGGACACCTCTCAACTAGATCAGGCAACACATGGGGACTGAACGGGGATCGAACCTGCAACCTTGGTGTTATCAGCACCACACTCTAACCCACTGAGCTAACCAGGCCCCTTGTTTCTGTTTGTTTTATTTAGGAATCAGATGTGGCTTATATCCCAACGAGTGGCCTCGGTGGTGAAAATCTGGTCACAAGGGGTCAGTCAAGTGACCTCACACAGTGGTATAAAGGAAAGTGTTTGTTAGAGCAAATTGGTGAGTGTAATTCTCCTCATTTAAAAACGAATATATCTTAGTCCTGTGTGTGTCAAAATGTTTATTTTGGGATAATGGGGGACAAAATCTTGTGAATGCAACATAGTTGATTTATCCTTAGGTCAGAAGTTATTGAATACAAAAATTCTAAAAGGTCTTATCAATTTATTTGCAGATTCTTTCAAGCCACCACAGAGATCAGTGGATAAACCATTTAGGTTGTGTGTTGCTGATGTTTTTAAAGGTTGGTTGGTTTTACAACATTTTCACCAATATTTAACACAAGTGTTGAATAATTCTGTAAAAATAAAACTTAAAGTAGGAGCTTTATGTGTGATAGTATTCTTGAACAAGTTTTCAAGCACTGTTCTATTTCAAGTTTTAGGTAGTACCACTGAAGGAGAAACACACTGGGAAATAAATTGAAGAACAAAATCTGCATGACCAGCTAGTTGTATGTGTAATGAGTTGATGATTCTGTGGGACAGGATTTGGGAGTTTCTCTTCCCAAATAGGTTCTTGTTGCTTAAATGAATTTTTCTCAATCTTTTTACGAGGATGACAGGTCTCATTTACCCCCACTCCTAGATTTTAAAGAAGTTTGACTTATTTCTTTCATGTTCATTGTAGTAACTGTAGATAACGATCAATTGCTCCATTTTTGTATAAAAATTGGGGGGAGGCGAGATGGGGGGAAAAAAGAAAAGGGTGGTAGTTGTGAGACTGTTAGAACCAGCCAGGGATTCAGTGAAAGGCAGCTAGCTGTTAGCTAGCACTATAACCAATTCTTATTCCCGTTGTCTGGAGAAGGTAGATTCCCTTTAGCACTTAATGTTATCATGGTAGAATGCACTTTTGCAGGTAATTAGAAGGAAAAGGATTTGTGACATTCATCCATTTGAAATGTCCCTTGAGAAATGTTGCAAAGTGAATGACAGCATGATGTGAAATTATGTAAATATTTGTAATAAAATATTATCATTGAAATTCCTATTTTAAAAAGTTTAACTTTATAGGGCATTTATAGGGGAAATACAAATAAACTACATCACGATACTGATTGTGATTGGAAAAATCAGTTTTAGTGCAATTTTCATGTGGATTTGTGAGAAAACACTAGATGCTGTACATGCCCTGGGTTAGCTGACTTACGATGTTTAAGCCATAATGTTAAATATTGAAACCCTGCATGAGGATTTACTCTAGTGTGTGACCACTGATTTTGTCATCTAGGCCATAACTGCATTATTAATTGTTTTTTGTAATTTTGTGAGCTGTGGGAAAGTGTGTTAGGATTATTGATTGAGATCTTTCAAAATATTATCACAATTTTTTTGTTGCATTAATCATTTTTGTGTTGAGCTAAGTTTCACAAAATGAGCAATTTTGACTAAATCTGTGAGAAGTCTGATTTTTTTGCTAAAGCATGCAAAAAAGTAAAGGCATTGGAAGGGACTCCATTTACATATACAGGGCTTATCACTGAATGTGGCCTTTTAGGTGTTTTTTAGGCTATTTTTTTCTTACCTTGTGATCTCAAAACTTAATTAACTTGGATGCCACCAGAGGAAGTAGCTGCAGGTATGAGTACGTGAAGCAAGAGTTGTGCTCAGCTCTATTCCTGTGCCTGTGCGTGCTCAAGAGGAGCTGTCCATAGAAGTGCATAAAAAGTGAGAGTGCTGAGTGTACTCTTGCGTAGTTTGGAAAACCCCTTTCTTTATTAAGGTTACCCACACGTGTGATTCATTTACCTCAGCCTGATTTTAACTGTTGTCCTCCATAGCCATCCTGATGTTTTCTCCAGGCAAACTGTCTCCTGATCCAAGAGGTCCCTGTAAATTCCCTCACCGCTACATCAGTCCCCACTTACCATATCGCAAAGCTGCCTAGAGTATGACTTGGCCTGACTTTACAAAAGCCTCACCTGACAGCTGTCTCCTAAAGCTGAGGAGCATGCCCTAGCAGAACCCGAGAATCACGACACACAGAAATAATTTTTTTTATGCCCTCATTCTGTCCCCCACTATCCGTTTTGTACTTGCCTTGATTTCATGAGGAGTTGAAGGAACTTGTCCCTTTGCACGAAGCAATCAGCATGGGAGAGGGCAAAGTTTCAGACACAGCACTGATTTACTAACCCAGAGCTGGTGATGATGTGAAAAGAAGAGAAATGGTTCCTGATTGTGCTTGGGGGTGGAGTTGGGAACCTGGAACCAGTTCATGTTTCTGGTTGCCTGCAAGTTCTTGCAGAGCTTCAGGGTCTTTTGCGTACCATATTGAGGTGTTATTTGTACCATGAATTGGGAATTCTTTTTCTAGCAAGTGTCTGCCTCTCCAGTTTTCTGCTAGTTTGGTATCTGGTGTCATCTGTTAGTTGATGGCATTCATCTCATTTGCTGGAATGAGTAGAGGAAAATTAGCACACAGGTGTACTGGCGATATTTTTTCCAGATAGATAGATGGAAGCATTCATGAATAATGGTGATGAATGCAAAAGGGCAGATTAGGGGTATGTGATGTCAAGACTTAAGGTCAACTTTGTCTTTCGAATTAAGCTTTTAATCTAATGGGACACACGAAATTCTAAGATGCTTGCTAATCACTGAATTCTGATGTTTAGCAGAAGGTGTGTTTGTTGTTTCTGTGAATACTGAAAATGTCATTGTAGAATCACTTCAGAGGGTTCTTTTTAATCATACCTGCAAATATATATGAGGGAGATGGGGCATTTCTTAAAGTGTATGTACATAAATGTGCATGTGTAGCACGTCTACTGAAAATAGCTGGCATGTCATTCAAATAATGAACAGAGTATTAGGACACTGAAGAAGAAAAAAAATTTGAGATCTTTTATTCAGAAATACTTAAGTCATCTGCAGTTATCACAGCTCCTCATATTAAATAGGACTGCATCAATCTTTGACTTTCCAGGAGTAAAGCTACTACACAGGCAGAGCTTGTAGGATTCTGACTCAGTTATACAGTAACAGGCATAGGAATTTGCATCTGTATGCGTGAGAGTTTTTACAAGAGGTCTGTGGTGTGTTCTTTATCTGTAATTATAGTGAGAAAGTGCTGAATTAAATAAAATTGCTAGAAATTAAGAGACTTAATCTAATATTGAAAAACTAAAAAATATTTCTTCGTGAGCCTACGTTTTGTTTGAAGAAGGATGTTTCTCCCTTAGTTCTGAAAAACATAAGATCTAGAGGTTTTGAATTTAATGTTTCATTTTCATTATGATGCACACCTGGCTAACTTGCAAGTACCGAACAATCTACGGGGCGAAAAAAAAGTCTTAATTATATGAAAAATTTATGCATTGCTGAAGAGCTGACTTGTGATGGGAAATTGACCTTATTATGAAGCTTTTTGAAATTATTCATCTGTTTATTGCAGACCAAGGATCAGGATTCTGTGTGACTGGTAAAATAGAAGCAGGCTATATTCAAGTTGGAGAACGACTTCTGGCAATGCCTCCCAATGAAACTTGCACTGCAAAAGGTACAGTCTTCAGAAGCGTGTTTACTTTCGGGTCAATACTGGGCTAGCAGCAGTTACTGAAATGGTAACAGACTGTCAAACTGATACTAACTGTCAAACATAAAATGTGAAAGCATAAAACGAATTTCTTTAGATGTGACTGTGTCTGTATAAATATGTCTATGAAGAGTATGTGAAATCTTGCGTGGTGCTTTTACCTTCTTTTTTTTTTTTTTTGAACTATATCAGATATTCCAAATACTGTAGCCTCATGACTTTTGACATTGCTTTCTGAAGAGCCTGTAAAAAACATCTGAGTTCCAGCAACTTTTATAAAAATATGCCATAGAGGAATCATTAATATTCAGCTTTGCTGTGGATTATGACTGCTGTTAGGAAGTGTGAGGATGCTGAACAACCCTTAGAAATTAATCATTTGAATTAGATGTGAAAAAGCTTGAGATTTAAGTCACTGATGTTTGATATTCGTGAGATGTGTCACTGATACTTTCAAAATAGACAAACTTCCAGGGTATAATTGTCATCACCAAATACAAAAGACAAGAAAATTGGATTTTAATTTCAATACATTTGATTTCTGGAAAAAAAGAATAGCTAAGTCAAGGCATTAAATGTTTAGCTGTTTCCTGATTTAGCTTGATGTCTTTGTATTGCAGAGTTGGTTTTGTTTCATACACAAACAGAAAGATAAAATTATGATTCTCCTCCATTGAGTAATGAATAAAAAATTAAGCCCTCAAAATAAATGAGTAAGTTTCTGTATCAGCTATTTAGCCTGAATTCTTCTTCGACTGTTCTGTTCTAGAACCAGCTTGTTCAGTGCTAATTTGGGAAGCTTTTCAGTGTGCCAGTCTGTAGGGTTATTGGCATGTTGCTTACATGCTCAGGCGTATTACAATAACACGGGATGAATATGGTTATCAGACCACCGTAGGCACCTCTCTGTTTTGGGAGTGGAGAAGGGAGCGTGGAAAAAGATGTACCCAGGGGTACAATTCTATGATTTTTCTTTTTTTTAGTCCCTCACATATGGCTGAAATGCAGGTGAAGGTTGGCAGTACTTGTTCATTAAGCAGGTATTATTATTTTTAATGTAGAGAAGAAATAATTCATCAAACAATATTTATTAAAGGTAGGGTGCACATTGGGATTACAGTTTTGCATTTCAAGAGGCTGAGTTTTACTTATTCTGTGAAAGTGACACTAATGTGCAGTAATTGTCAATACTGCTTAAGAACAGTACTTAACGTGCTTGTAGTTGAATGATGCTGTCTGTCATGTTTTTGACAAATGGTTTTGGGAACAGATTTGCAAGTCAATAAATACAATCTGTAGCGAAATAGAACTATATTCTATACATGTATCCTGTAGTTATAAAAAATGGCATTTTTTTCTTTCCTTCTGGGTGCCTACCAGAAACCTCAGAATATTCAAGTTGGGAGGAATTAGTTTTGGCCTCGCTCACCAGCCAGGTTATCTTTTAAAGCAGTTAAAATACGTCAAAAATCAGAATAAAATTACTTTTAAGGATGCTTTTGTTAGACGCAATGTTGTGAACGGAAGGCGTCAGTTACACTTTTTTATGAAAGAGTCAGCAAACCCACTTAAGGTAAATGAAAGTTGACATAGTGCCATTAAGTATATGAAAGATGCGGTCTAGGGTGTGCGTGTGCCTGAAAGGATGGGTGGGGCAGATACGGAGATATTACTACTACGGCATTTTCAGGACTGCGTCATCTGCGCTGTGTGACAAGTGCCAGGTCCCCTCCTCTGGCTTAAATAAAGCCAGGTTATCGTGCAGGGTGGGGTGAGAGAATAGCGAGTCCTCACCAAGGTGGGGGAAGAATAAAAGCTTCCTCAGTTTTCTCAGTTAAAAAGCTTTTACTCTCAACCCATTCATACTGAAAATTGATGAGTAATGGTTGATGAAGCACAAATGGCCCAAACAGAGCTGTTTGTTTGTAGCTCAGAACCTAGGTACTTCACTGTGAGGTTCTGTTCTTACTCATTTCCAGGAATCACACTGCACGATGAACCAGTTGATTGGGCTGCAGCGGGAGATCACATTAGTCTCACTTTGACCGGCATGGATATCATCAAAATCAAGTGAGCATAACTGGGTTTCAGTCTAGCTAACGGTTTGTTTTTAATGAAAAGCTTTATAACCATTACACTTAGCAATCAGCGGTTTACTTGAGGAATGATGTGGCTACCAGGATATTTAAAACCAAAGTGATGCATATCACCTGGCTTGCATGTGCAAACGTTGGAAACATCTGCCACATGTACAACGGCAACCTCAGAAGAATACTGTCCGTTTTCATACTTTGCTCTAGTGCTGACACTTGGAAACCTTCAAAGCCTTTTTCATTAAGACTTGTCCTTGGATGGTTTAATTGCTGAAATAAATCCTTATTGCTAAATAAAAGATTTTTGAAGAGCTTATCGAATCATAAATCCTTCTATCAAAACACATCCAAACAACTGCCATTGCATACCAATAAATAAATCTGGACAAGTGGAATCGATGGAAACTACTCAACACATGTAGCTGCCTGTAACTTTGGTAAATGTTTTGCTGACCCTTTTTGAGGGGCTTCTGATACGTTCAGTGAGACGCAGCAAATCTCTCTGTGTCTGTTTCAATCTATAGGTTTCATACTAAGCGCTAGCCTCAAGCTTTTAGGTAAGTGTCAGTTGTTCAGGCAAGAAAATTAGATCCATAATTTGTTCAGCTTTTTTACATTCCAGTTGGATTTCAGGCAGCAAACCTTCAAGCTACTGTTTGAAAAACTTTTGTTGATAGTTTTGCAAATTTATGCTTGCTTTTAAGGTGAAAGTATAGGCTTTTTTGCATTGCCATTTCATAATGGTGAATGATTCACTGTGGTAAATGGTGAGGAAAAAGGTCTTGCTCTACCTGTTAAATGAAGGCTTGAGTAATTTGTTACCTTGGTGTCATTCATCAAACATTGGATTTGCCAAGAGAAAGTCCTCTTGATATTGATGAAGTTTGATTTCATCTGACATATGCATTTAATCATGCTCTTTGTTCTCTTCAGTCATGCTTTTCTGGGTGGGATTAGTTTTCCTTCCCTTTTAGATGGCTAAAACTAGTCACTGTGAAAAAGCTTTGTCTAAGCTACCTTATGGACTTGTAAAGAGCAGCATCTTTCTTGTGACTCCATGGAGAGTCAGCGCTGCTGGGAGCTTAAGTTTTGAGACCCCGGATCAAGGTGTTCCTTCATCCACAAAACAGTTGAGTTACAGTCAGCAGCACTGCAATTTTGGGCACCCTGCAGTGTTTTATGCTGTTGAGCTGGAACAATTAATCTCTGAATGAAAGTCTAATTCTTCAAAATACCTACGCACAGGAAACAGTGACATTTTTAGAAACTGATTAGCAATGGACGTAATTGTTCACTGAACTAGACAGACCTTTTCATGCATACCCACAAAACACCATAGACATTGTCTAGGAATCAATTTAATTACAGGATTGAATATGGTGTTCCTGATTTTTGGTTTTTTCCCCCAGGTTATATTAGACTGGTGTTGTCTTTGCTTTGCTTGTCTTAAAAATGTGTATTTTTCCAGTGCAGTGATTAACATTTGTATGTCAATATATCTATCAGTTTCTTCTGTTCCCTGTTGTAGTGTTGGCTGTGTATTTTGTGATCCGAAGGAACCAATTAAAGTTTGCACTCGCTTCAGAGCTCGGGTTCTCATCTTCAATATTGAGGTTCCAATCACTAAAGGATTTCCTGTAAGTCTCTGTGAAAGTTTCTGTGTTCATTACAGGTTGTTCAGACCTTTTCCTCTCTGTGTTCGAACCCCTGAATATGAGATATTTAGAGTCCAGAAATGATTCTCTCTCTCCAGAGGAAATGGATTTTTCTGTAATTTGAAGGGGCTGTTGTGGCTTCTTATGCATCTTCTTACTGGCTCTTATTATATAGCCAAGCCATGTCAGAGAACATGAGTTTACTATGGTCAGGCTAGGCTGTCCTTTGGAAAGCTCATGCCTCGTTAGGGGTATAAAGATGCTTGTGGATGTAAAATACCTCTAAAAACAAATAAAGTACCACTTCATGCTACAGAACTGCACTGAAGTTGCACAAGCAAAACACTTAAGAACAAAAAATATATTTGTTCTGAATGAATACTTTACATTTGTGTTATATCTGTAGAGATCACAAAGTTTAGGAACTAAAAACGGTCGCTGAGTGTGAGGCAGACATTCTTATGAGTGAAGTTTTATTAGGATTTGTTTAAAAATCAGTCTTAAAGGTAGATGTTTTCAAGTTTTAACATGTAGGATTTCTGATTATTGTAGAATGTTTATTAACTAAAAAAAATATCTTTAGGTGCTTTTACACTATCAAACTGTAAGTGAACCTGCTACCGTTAGAAGACTATTGAGTGTCCTGCACAAAAGCACTGGTGAAGTGACAAAGAAAAAACCTAAGTAAGTCTTTTGAATACTTACTTATTATTCAAGAAATGGACTAACTTTTGATTGATTTATAGTATGTCAAGCAGGTTCTGCTATGAAGCAATAATGCGTTTAGAAGAATATGCTTTCTTTGTTTTAGTTGGTTTAATGTTTAGATTTCAGAGTGCTTTTTAAAATTTATTCTTTATGTTATCTCTTTTCCTCCTGTAATAGCAGGGGATCCTTGGTGTAATTCTGGAGATGAGTTGCTGTCTAAAATAAAATCAACGGTGGTTCACAGAAAAAGAGATTTAGGGAGTCCTCCCATACAGGTTAAACTATGGGAACATCTATCCAGTTATTTAAAGTCGTATTTGCATAGAAATGCTATTTTATGCATACCACATTGTCAGAATAATCCCTAAAAAAAAGCTGAAAGGTATTGGGAAGAGAAATCATGACTTCTACAGCGCAATGAATTTTCTCTTTAGTCATTGGGTTTGAAACAAAATTTGATTTCTTCTAGACATGATAAAACAGGTATTAATGAGATAATTAACCTCAAAACAATTTGCTAAGTGTTGTAGTTGATGCCCTTCTCTATAAGTTTTTAAAGAAAACTCTGATACCTTTTTAAAAAGTGGTGTGCTCCGGGCAAATGAGTTTTTGCTCTGGTGGCTTGAGTAATACTTGAAATCAAGCTTGATTATTTTACTTTTTGCTTTTTACGTTGAGATTTTCCATCTGTGCACTGTTCTTTTTCATTTATGCATCTGTATATTTATAAGAATTTTCTGCTTATTTACATGCAGGTTCTTGACTAAAGGACAGAATGCTTTAATAGAACTACAAACTCAAAGACCTGTTGCTCTAGAGTTGTATAAAGATTTTAAAGAGCTTGGGAGGTTTATGTTACGCTACAGTGGTTCCACTATTGCTGCAGGAGTTGTCACAGAGGTATGGCATTTTTGTAATGAATTTTCTGTACTGTAAAGGAATAGAATCATAGAACAGTTTCAGTTGGAAGAGACCTTCAAGATCATTGAGTCCAACCTTTGCCCTAGCCCTATCAACACCACTAAACCGTGTCCCTCAGCACATGATCTACCCTTCTCTTAAACACCTCCAGGGACAGTGACTCAACCCCCTCCCTGGGCAGCCTGTTCCAATGGCTGACAACCCTCTCAGTAAAGAAATTCTTCCTAATATCTAACCTGAACCTCCCCTGGCACGATTTAAATTCATTTCCCCTTTTCTTATCACTCACCACTAGGGAAAACAGACCAACCCCCACCTCCCTACAACCTCCTTTCAGGTAGCTGTAGAGAGCGATGAGGTCTCCCCTCAGTGTCCTCTTCTCCAGGCTAAACAGCCCCAGATCCCTCAGCTGCTCCTTGTACGACACATGCTCCAAGTCCTTTACTAGCTTGGTAGCCCGCCTCTGTACCCTCTCCAGCATCTCAATGTCATTCCTGTAGTGAGGGCCCCGAAACCCGACACAGTACTTGAGGTGCAGCCTCACCAAAGCTAAATGGTGTTAAATTTCACATAGGTCTTAACCACAAAAACTAAATGCTATTTTGACACCCTTTGGGCTAAAAAGTGGATTTATTCTGCTAAAAAGGAGACAAATTCAACAAGATGTCAGGAAAACTTGCCAGTGTTCTGCTCAATTTATTAGGAGCAACATTTGCTCTATTTAGAATTTTTGAATGTTGTTCATTTTTCCCTTTCTCTCAAGTTAAATCCTTCGCTATTTTTATATACATATGTCTTTCTGAAATCTAATTGCCTGTATAAATATACCAGAAGTAGTTTGTAAATGAGAAGCATTGGCCATTTTTCTGTGGCTAATTTGGGTGCCAGATATTCTTCTGTTAGCATTAAAGACAATTGTACATTTGATTCTTACTGATGTCTATAGATGTTATCTGATCCTGCAAGAGAGGAAGCAAAGGCTGTGAACTAAAGATAAATGTTTTGTCTTCTATTAGGAGAAAAAAGTAGGAATGTCCCTCTCTCTGTCACTTTAAAAAAATCTTACTATAATTTTTCGATTAAAATTTAAGTTCTAATTCTACGCCTGAGAGAGAGCAATCTAGACACATTCAATGTCAAAACTTGGAACTAGAGCCTGAGAATTCCTGGCTTCTTCCTGTGTGTATAGGAATGATGTGCTTGGTCTGTCTGAGGCTCTGGGCCTTATGGAACTTTAATAGTCCTAACAATCTGTCTAGTATTAAACAGGATCCAGAATTAGAGCTTTAATCTTGCATCCATTTTTCATTAAATTTAACTTAAAGTGAATGGGGTCCAGTTTAGAACTATGATGCCCAATGCTTATAGAATTGGAGACTAAATGACTTTGATTGTTATTTGGGAATTGCTGCTTTAGTACTTCTGATCTTGTTGCAGAGAATTTCAGAGCAGAAGGAATTATTTTATCCACAGCTAACTGTATCATGCTGAAAAAAGCTGTGATTGTTTTACATTTAGTACTTAATTTTTCACCATGGGATTTTTTTTCTGTTTTCTTATATTTTTAGATTAAAGAATGACAGTGGTGCCAGAACTTCCACCGTCCAATCAAAAGTCTATCAGATATCCAAACTTCCGTTTAAGAATTCAGTTACTTCAGTTGAAGGAAGAAGTGCAATTAAGTGGGGAGATGATGATGATGACGAAAGTTAAATCATGTGAGACATCTGGGGAGCCCGTCTTCAGTCTCTCCCCCTGCAGAACAAGACACCAACTGACAAGGAACTGCTAGTGTTGCACTTCTCGATCTCAGAATCTCACGTGTTCTCCATGTGGAGTTTAGCCCTTAGAGAGCTTGATGGAAAAATCTTAGAAAGTTGAATTAGAGAAAAAGATGATGAATCATCATGACTTCCAGACATAAATTGTTTACATATTTTCTTTGATTTGCTTTTTTGCTGCACATTAATTCAGTAAAGTAACTTTATTGGTCTAATATATTTTTAGATTTGAGTTGAATGCATATTCAGGGAAAAGAAGAACTGTTAACTTTGGCTTCAAGAGAATGGCATGTAGTATTATCCTGGGGTTGTTTTCCCTGTCCCAAAATTTATTTAAAAAAAGAGAGGTTTTCTTTTGCTGTGTAGTGGAAGCTGTGCCAACATTGGCTAATTTTATTTTTTAAACTGTAAGAATAATAAAATAACTTTGTCTGAGCATAATTTTTGTCTTCTTCATCTCTGGTTATTTAAACACTTCTAAACTATGTTAAATTATTCTTTACTTTCCATAACTCAGAAGTTTCAGAGTAAACTTCTGAGTTAAAATGCGAAACTGGCATGTGACTTGTCTTTCTGTGGAAGTAATTTCAGTTTTTCTCATGTTACTCAGTGCAGCTACTGCACATGCACATCTCATCCAGACTTAGGCCTCTTCTGAACAGAAGCTGGCACTTTACTCTTGGGAGGTATGCTAAAGCCAGATGTTGTGCTTACTCAAGCCTGTAACTCCTTCCTGCTTTTCAGTAATAGGGCAGGCGAACCTCCCAACTGAAGGGAGAAAGTCCTTCTGCCACCTCCAGCACAGGCTCAGGACAGAGATGCCTTAATACAACTTGGAAGATTGTATTTCAGTGGCAAATGTGAGAGGACCTCAGGTATTTCAGGACTGGCACACGGGTGTGTGTTAGAGACAACTCTACTTTGACCTTAGTTAGTAGTGTAGGGCAGGAACTCAAGTACTCACTCCAGAGCATCAGTCATGGGTTAACAGAAGTAAGGCTGTGCCCTGTGTAGTGAAGAACACAAAAAACCTATGGTCATTATTTAGTTTGAAGTTGTATATGGCCCCATGGCCCCATACCTACTCTACCCACATGCTTTTTTTGGTAGGTAACTTTTTTTTGCACTCATGTGCTTTAGCCCAGTTCAGCAGATACCTGCACTTGACCACACAGATAAACTGTACCGTTGACTGCATGTGTATTTATGGAAGTATCAGCAATGCCTCATGTGGAAATGACTTTTATGAAATATTATTCATCTGAAATATCTGAAAACTTTTATTGCCAAAACTGAAGCTTGTGACTATAAAATGACATAACCAATAGCGATAATTCATAAATTTAAATACCTAGTTTTCAACATGCCAGCTGTGAAGATTTTGGTGCATTCATTGGATTCCAGAGATTCCTACTGTCAAGCTCCTATGTTGAACCTGTTCCATTTGAAATTGCCTTCAAACCTTGAAAATGTTTAGGTTGATTTTAAGTCAGGGAACAACTGAAATGTTACAGGCAGAAAAATGTATCTTCAGTTTTAAGGCTTCAGTAAATGCCTTGCTGTTGGCAGACAAGGAAACGCATGATACAGGATGAACCTCTGATAACCCTTCTTACAAATGGTTGTATGAAATCAATGTTCTGTGACAACGGAAAAGCTACCACACGTTTCCCCAGTTGTCGTTTGGGAGACCCAAGGGTATTACCTAATCCAGTTTCCACATGACATGCGCTACCTTTCACCACTGATTTGAACTCTGCCCAGAGGCACTGGTTGGTTGATGCATAAACAATCTGTTGTTGTGCAACAAAAAACCTGTTAACTTCATTTGATCAAAATATGTTTGTGTGTTGATCCACAAGAAATTTGATGACTTGGCATTAGTCTAGGGTGCAAAAACTTTCTCAAGTGCTGACTGAGAAATTCACAAGCTCCTGATGACAATGTAATGGTCTCCCATATGGATATAATGCTTTGAATATTTCTGAAGTGCAAGGACGTGGCATGCAATTTGATAATCTAAGCATTTTCTCCCGGAGATAATTTTTTACACAACTCTTACGGAGCTGTTAAGGTTTTTGCAAAGTTAAAGAAAAACCTAATTATATGTAACAGGCTTCTTTATAGTAAGGTGGCTTCCACTGGAATATCAAGAGAAGGGAAAGAATGAAAGTTGGTATCTTGCTTCTTTTTTAAAAACAGGACAAAATACAACAGAGAGTGGCAGGTAGGATTGTGCTCCTCAGCTGTTTTAAATTGAAGAGCCACCTGCTGCTTGTATTGTTTGAGTTTCATATGTTTAAAATATTTTGGTTTGGCAGAAGCATTGTTTTGGGGGTTACAAGGAAAAGTATTGATGATGACAAAGCAGTGAGCATGAGCTGCAGATATGTTAGTCCTAGTGTCTTTTCTCTGTGTAATGACAGTAAGGAGCAGGTCCATGGCTAGGTGTTTGGGTCTGGAATTATTTTGTATACTTGTTGCAAAATGTCATCGGGCTTTAGCTTGGAAAACAGGTAGAGGGAGAAATTATCTTTCAAACCATTCTTTTTCTCCTGTTATTATTCCCCTTCTGTTTTCTATAGACAGAGGAGAGCTTTTTTCTAACTAACCTGATCCTGTCTCCCTACTTCAGTTCATAGAAAAGAACTAAGTGTCATAGAAATAGTAAATTTTTTCCCCTTTTCCTCTTTCCTGCTGCTGTTGCCCGCATTTGTTCCCACTCATGAGCGAGCGGGGCAGTGAAGACAGAGAGGGAAGGGGAGGAGTTCACACTCGCTGCGCAAATACATACAGATCTCCTAATCTAAATTGTTGCCGTGTAGAAAAAAAAAAATCACAGATGAAGCAAGCGGCAAACGATGGCTCACTCAAAGACTCTCTTAGTGCTGGAAAACTTCATAGGTGGCAAATTTGTTCCTTGTTCCTCCTACATAGACTCCTATAACCCATCCACTGGAGATGTCTATTGCAGGGTGCCAGACAGTGGCAAAGAAGAGGTGAGTACTATCCGCATGTGCAAAGAAGTGAAAATGTTAAACACACAAAACATTAATGCTTTGAGTGAGAGAAGCTGAAGGTGAGAGAACAGAAAAACTCTGAAGACTTTAATGCTTACATCAGTAAGTTCCTGACTGTATTGTAGTGGTTTGTAATTCCCTGCTGTGGCAGTGAATACTGGTGGTTTTTTTTTTTAAATTTTGCTGTTAGAAAGTTACAGGCTGGATCCTAGGCTGGTGTAAATCAACAAAGCTTCAATAACTTCAGTGGAACTCCTTCAGCTCAGGTGGGAGACGTACATAAGTTAACAATAACGCTCAGACTGGCAGTAAGTATAAACAATCTAAGAGACAAAAGAGTTTACTGTAAATAAGCTTAGAGGCGCTGTATACAACTAAATGCGTTCTTTGTGTCTTCATAATTTGCAGTTGTCATTTAAAAAGGATTTTTGGCCAGCTGACTCTTCTCTGAGGATGGTAAAAGCTTGCAGACCTCTGGTTTTGGTTTTAGCAGCTGGATATTAAGTGGATGTGATGAAGTGGCTGGGATGAGTGTACATTTCCTTAGAACGTAGCCTGTCCTCTGCATCAGTGTAAAAATGCTTCTTAGTCCTGTGTTCTCTAGTGGGGTGAATGTTACCTGGGACCTATTGTGTGTTCAGGTGAAGATGGGCACTGTGACATTCATCTGGGCAGCTGCAGTTTCATTGATGTTCCTTTATAAGGAACCTACAAGTGTATGTCCAGCATAGTGTTTCACATCTACTAAAGACAGAAATGACTGGAAAAGCTTGGCTAATGCAAAGGGCTTGGAAAGTATTGACAAGTGGTATACAATATTTTAAAAAGGTTTTTAAAACAAACTGCTACTGCATGTAGCTGTTCCCTTCACTTGCATTTCAGTCCCATTGACATCTCTCTTTCCTTCCCTCAGCAGAAACCTTTGCACTGTAATTTCAACTGGATAAATATTTGCTAGATATGGATGACCCAAGGTTAAAGAGTAACAGGTTGAGTTTGGTAGAATGCGTTCTGTGTAAGTTCATTCCAACCCTAATTATGCCTGAAAAGACTTCTCTTTGATGTGCAGGTGCAAACCTTCCTGTTTGCGCAAAAATCATTAAAATGAGAGAGATGTGAGAATGCCGTAGCAACCTAACAAAAGTAGGCTGCTGGCTATATACTGAAGAGTAATGGCTTTTCATTTTCAACTTTCTAAGTCAGTGGTTATGTGTGGCAGCGGGATCCCAGTATAAACCCGTGTAAAGTTGGCGAGTGCGTTACTCCTGCCTTGAGACATCTAGGCAAGAAGATTGGGCTCTGCAGAGCTGGCATCTGCTGGTGACTGATAAAATATGCTGCAGGGGAAAACGTAATCATATGCTGCTTAGAGGGTATCTAGAGATATCAAGCATCTAGACCCAGATTCAACAAAGAACCTAGGATGCTGGCTTCTAGCAAGGATCAATGTCCAGTTGGATTTTCTTCTTGGTTAATTTTAGTGGAAGGTTAGAAGGCAGAGTAGAAACAGACAGCAAATCTGTTGTTGACCCTGGAATTAAACACCAGGACACCTGCAGCGGCCATTTCAGATAGTTTCTGCTAAAAACACTGAATGTGTTTTTTTCAGGGGTTAATTTGTCCACCACCTAGATGTCTTAAATTCCAAATTGCAGCCCCAGTGCAAGCTGGGCAGGTGCCTTGTATCTCCAAAAGACAGATTGGTGAAGGGAAATCAGTCCTGAAAATCACCTGCTCAAAAAAAGGCTCTCTGTAAAGGACCTTGCTCCTGTACATCATCCCCTAGAAAAACAAACATTGTGTCCTGAGGGCAGTTTGTTGGAGTTTTTTTGTATCAACCTTTTAAAATAAGTCTGGATTGTATGTTCTTTCTCTGTCTGTCTTGCACAGAAGAGGAAAGCAGAAGGAAGTGTTTCAGACATGAGTTCATAGTTGAGATCTTATGCGTGTGTTCTTTGTGGCTTGGCTTTCTTTGCTGCTTTCTGCTAATCAAACTAAGTAAGTGTTCAACCTTTGTGTGCTCTCTTACTTCTCCTGTACAAATTTCTCTCCTTTGTTTTTTTTTTCCCTTCAGTAAGTCTACTACTTCAGTCCTTTGTTTGCTAATTTTATCTTTTGCTGTCTTTGAAAATGTGACATCTTCCTTCTTCTAAGCTGACTGGGGGGTTAAAAATGCAGATAGCCTTAACTTCACACCAGCCCTCTCTTGAAGCTCCTTGTACATAAGATCAGAGGATAGAACAGATGAGAAGCAGCACCACAATGGCACCTAATGACCGGAGGATGGAAGAACAAGTAAGGGCTGTATGATTTCACAGAGGGTGAACCTTTTCAGGGTAATATGCCATCTGCACCTGACTCACTCAAGAAGCTGCAGTTCCTCTTTCCCAGGCCTACTTTGACCCTTCTCCAACTGTCTGGTGCCTGACAGCCCACCGCTGTCACACCTGAGCAACAAGTCGTCGACTTACAGTCGGAAGAGTAGAGACTTGGTTTCTGAGCTTGGCCAGTGATATGCATGACCTTGCGTGAGTTGGTTTATTTCCCACCGTGACATCCATACCTGTATCATTCTGGACATCAAACTCTGGCCTTTATTTTTAGGGAGACCATGAATTCTGGTGTGCATGGTGGGGAAGAATTTCCACCTGCTTGAGCTTTTGTGCCTTCATTAGTAAACCATAACTGGAACATCCTGAAGGAAAAAATTTGGAACTCAGTTATTTGGAAGTAATGGAAAGGAGTCTTCAGTGAGTGCACAGGAACTGATGATAACATTAGGCGAGATCCGAATTATCTGACTATTATTATATTGGCACCCTCCTAGTTATTGTCTTGGGCAGATTTCCAAAAACTGAAGAAATTTATAAGCAAAAGTGATGGGCAACCAACTCAGACAGCTTTGGCTAAAAGACATTGGAAGCAGTTAAGAAGTGACACGTAGGAAGCAAGAATTGGGAAATAGGGCAGTAAATTAAAATATGGACGGATGGTGGTAAACATCTCCAGACTGGTAAACGACATTGAGAAGGAACCACTTATAAATCAATAGATACAGATGACTTTCATTTAAGAGCCCAGAGGAAATGATTGATAGAAGACAGTGCTTTTTGGTGAATTTTAATCCTTTGAAGCCTAGTCTGCTTCAGAAGAGTGGTCGTGTTCTGCCATTAGTCAGAAAGGTCAGGCTGAAGAGCCATGCAGTAGTTATGTATACCTCAGGCAAAATACTGGCGAGACTGGTATACGTCTATATGAAATGCATATAATGATCTTTCATATATCTAGACTTTATTAAGTATCTGAACTGAATAAACCCCAAGAGTTTTAGAAAAGAGCTATTTTTTATTTTTTTGTCTGTGTGAGGGCATTGATGTGTTTTTGGCTGTGATCTGGTATGATTAAAATTTTTCTCTGGGTATCTACTCTATAAACATATTCTTAGTCCTTGCTTGAAAGAGCTGAGGAAAAAGGAAGAGGAAATCAAAGGCTAACAGGGCCTTCCCCAATCCCTTCCGTCAGCGCCCGGTGTGGCTGAAGGCTTGTGTTGTAAGGATGTGGATGTTTAGGCTGAGGCTATATTTGCTTTGGGAGACGCTTTGCACTTTCCCTCGTGAGAAACAAGAATCTGCATGGGTTTGGCCAGTGGCACTTGCTGCTGCCAGTTGACGAGTCTGGCATTTCCTCCAGACCTGGAGGGTTACCCACACATTGCTGGAATGTAGAGAAAAGCAAGAATTACAGTGAAATAGAGTATCAAGAAAAAACAATGTTTTGAATTCTCAGAAAATGGAGAAGCTATCATTTGTCACAACTCTGGATTACTAGCCTCTTAAATATGAGTTCATCTGCTTATTGTTTGATACTCTTTCTAAGGTCTTCCATTAATATTCACTATCATGTTTTTCCTTTTTTTAGGTGGAAGCTGCTGTCAGAGCTGCGAAAGCTGCCTTCCCAATTTGGTCTTCAAAAAGTCCATTGGAGAGATCTCAGATCCTAAACAAATTGGCAGACCTGATTGAACATGAACTGGAAGCGTTTGCACAAGCAGAGTCAAAGGATCAGGGTAAAAATTGGAACTGTTAATCTCAAACGCAGAGCATCTTACTGAATATTGAAATGAGGGATATGGTCCCAATTTTTAGCTGCTGGTGCAAATTGGAGTTGATGTACATGAACTTTGCAGACGTTGCTGATTTTGTATTCCTGAGGTATTACTGCTTTTCAGAATTGCTGAGTTTGACTTCAGATGTTAGGTATTTGGAATGCATTACTAGACAAGAGCTGTTTTTATTGACTGGTTGCACGATAGTGCACTATATGCTGCAAATTACTTGGATGCAGGACAAAAAATGTTTCCCCAAAAGCATGCAAATCAGATTTCAGAGTAGATTAAAGTTTTAAGATCTAGAGCTTAAAGCACTGTTTCTACATATGATAACACAGTGGTGTCCTTGATTTTGTTTCAGGGAAAACTATTACAGTTGCTAGAACAATGGACATCCCTCGAGCTGTGTACAACTTCCGATTCTTTGCCTCCTCCATCCTTCATCACACGACAGAATGCACTGAGATGTCGACTGTGGGCTGTGTGCATTACACCTCGAGGATGCCTGTGGGAGTCGGTATGGTGCTCCTGAAACACGGGAAAGCTTAACAGAGTGTCTGCCTCAGCAGTGGCCCAACAAAGGAATGGTGTTTTTTGAAATCATTCCTTGTGTCTGGATCATGCAGTAAACACAACTAGTCCACTAAAGCATGAGCAACTTTATGTAAAATCAGTTATGTTACTTCATGGTAAAAAGAATGCTTATATAGAATCATAGAATGCATTGAGCTGGAAAGGACCTTTAAAGGTCATCTAGTCCAAGCCTGCTACAGTGAACAGCGGCATAGAATCGTAGAATCATAAAGGTTGGAAAGGATCTTAAGATCATCAAGTCCAACCTACAGCCCTACACCAGCCTAACACCAAACCATCTCCTGAAGTGCCCCATCCAGCCGTCTATTAAACACGCCCAAGGATGGTGACTCCACCACCTCCCTCAGCAAC